CTTTAGAAAGAAAGTGGAGAATACGATTCGCTAACTCCCCGTGAAATTCTGAATCCAACGGTATCCCATTCATAGTATTTGACGGTATCACAAATATAATAAAAAAAATAAAAGGAAACTAGAAAACGAATAGTTTATGAATAACTGAAAATATTAAAAAAATAATATTTATAAACCAAAAGACATATTACTGTGCAGTAGTAAAAAATTAATTAAATGTTTCTTAACAAAAAATGGAGAAAACTTGAATTAATAATGACTTGAACCTATCAACATAATTTATATTTTCATTATAAAACAAAAAAAAAAAGAAAAACTTATCACTGACATGAGATACAGTAAAAAATTAACTAAACCAATATTTTTCGGAAAAAATAATTTCGTTTTTATGTGATAACCAATGGCTTTTCTTCTAGAGATTTTTAATTATTTTCGTAAGTTTATAAACTTTCTTGTGGTAATGTTTTGGTTTTGGATAATAAAGTTATTATACCGATATTGAAAATATCGAGCTAAAAGGTTTATATACTTTTAAAATATTGACTTTTCAAGAAATCTAATACTCGATTTTCTCAGAGAATTTTTTTTCTGGCCAGTAAGTAAAGCATTCATAACTTCCCAGTATTTTCTTCAGATGTAATGTTAGTACAAGCGTTGGAAAGCTGAATTATCACTCTTCCAACACCCATCGATAACTTTTAGATTTAATTCCTTTTTAAATTAGAAATCAAGAAAAACTTCTCAATAATTTTGATTTTATTTCTTTAGTTCTAATTTGTTTACGTAGCTCGGTTTTGTCCCATTTCGTGTAACATTTAGAGCTCTAAATCCCTAATGTTTTTGGTTTGGATTGGTGGAACCGTTGTGAAGTTATCACAATTTTTGTAGTCGTTGATATAATTTCGAAAGGTTTTTTTTATTTTATTGAAATTTACAACTGTATTGCATGGAAAATACAATAAGTAAATGTGACATTGGTAACATGACATGTACAACATGAAGGGAAACTACCCATTGGTAGAACGCAAATCGAAAGGTATACCTTAATAATGTCATATATACATATGCAAGTTTTTCTGTAAGTAGAGAGAAATTTTTTATTTAAAAAAACAAAAACAATAGCATATATAAAATGTAATTATAACATATATACATATAATATATGTATTCGCATGGTGTATGTAAACTTTTGCAAATAACTTCCTTTTGCATACGGTTACTATGCAAGAGAAAAAAAAAAAATATATATATATAGTAGGCATTCTATATATTAAAAACAAATCGATAGCTTGAAGCATAAAAGTACTGCGATCACCTCTTTAAGTTGACAATATCTTTTTATTCTTTTTAAACAAATAAAAATCATGGCCCCATGCAACAACTATCCAAATACATTGATAACTTTGAGCCCATCTCAGTCTTGTCTGGTTGATTTATAATCTGATTTTAATATTATTTTTACTGATAAAACTTCATCTTAACTGAGATCACTAAAGACATAGTAAGGAATAATACACATATAAATAATAGACAGACAGGAATAATAGACAGATGAATTGTCTTCAATTGTGTCAAAAGATCTCGGTTGATAAACCTTTCTATGAGAAAACCAAATATTATTTAATCCTTCAGATTAATATTATAAGGGCCGTTTAGAACAGTATAATACATAAGGCGCCTTCTTATCGGCAGCTTCATTATCATTAATCTAGGATCGAATTAAGAACCAGCTTTTAGTCTTTTCGGTACATTCCTGGCACTTGATGTCATTTGTTAACACATAACGTGACATATTATTTTTTTTTTCTTATGTTTTTGTTATGTTCATTTATTGTCCAAGGACAGAAACTGTTAACACAATACTATCATAGCTTAGATAATAAATCCAAGATTGAGCTAAAAAAAAACAACTACCGAAATATTTTCATTTTTTCTACTGTTCTGTGTGAATTGATATTTTTAGGATATCCTGTGAAATGATTGAGACTATTCTCGAAGACCTGGAATACAAAACTATACTCCCCCACATAAATGATAATGCTAAAACAATGATAACGCTAGAGTGCGATACATAAAAAATTGAGATTTGAATTTATTTATGTCGAGTCGTATCTAACAGTTAAATTAAATTCCAGTAGCCTACAAAATTATAAAAAATTGTGCGTGCAGAGACATAGGTTTTAGTTTTGTTTATCTAAATGACAGGCAGAACTACCAATGTTATACCAATGTCTAATAAACTAAGACAAGAATTTCAATTATTCCTTTTTTTGATTTAGGCCTTCTCCTTATCTCATCTTTCAACAATGGGATGGTCTAAATTTTACTATATAAAATATTAAAATTATTTTTTCTCCCTACATTATTTTAATTTGATTAGTTAGTCCAGCGTAATATTCGGGTAATGGGAAGTTCGTTATCAATTTCAGTTTATTTTAGTGGTACCTCCTGATAGAAATAGTGGAAATTAACGCCTTCTTCGCAAATGCTTCTAATTGGAAGTGGGCTATGCCTATTCTTTCGTTCCACCATTATTCGAAGGCTTTGTAATACGGATACTTCATGATCTCGAGTTCGGCAGGTTCGGGAACGCCTTAATTAGAACATAAGAGATCAATATCTTTTTAAAGGCTTATTATTTTATTTTTTGTTTTAAGTTAGGGCGATATATTTTTGGAGCAGTGGCTTCTTTCAATATTGCATTCCAAGATTGCAAGATTCTCCGGATTCCCTGCTGAGCCTTCTTCCTTATGTACATTTTGCAGGAAGAGATCTAGAAGTATCTCTTCTGCACTGCTTCCTAAGATACCATCTTATATTCTCTGATGGATGTCAACCTTTTCTCTCTCTCTCTTTCCTTATCTTTTAGGTTATAAGGGTTTTTCCCAGAACCAGGGAGAGGGTGGGCGGGGGTTTATTGCAAGAGTCACAAACAAGTCTCCCTGGCACCGGGATTTAAGAACACATACTCAGCGGTTTATGTCGGTCTTCAGCTTACCTGACAATGCGTGTTTTATAGAATGCCTTATCTCGCTCGGCCAACCCGCCCTGAGATTGGATGCCAACTTGTTTTTCTGTCGGCTAGTGAAATTTAAATCCATAGGCTACAAAAGGTCCATCAACACAACATATTCCTTTGACGCCGACAGTAACATCGTTTCCCAAGCAGTCCAAATGAGGAGTTACATTAACCTTTTTTCAAAAACTTACGCCAAAGTTGGTTACCACCTAATTGGGTCTAATATTTTCTCCTTAAATTTCCAATATGGTGGAGTATGCCCTCTCACTCTCACTCTTAGAAAGATAGCTTGGATTTTCTCAACAGCCATCGTTATCCGTCTACTCGTACGCCATGTACTTATTAAGTTGGCGCTTCCTTTCCTGTGTTTGAGGGTTATTTTCCTAAAATTATATATTTTTTTTCGACTTATTTGTAGTATAATACCAAATAGTGTAAATTAAAATTTTAATAAATCTTTAAGGATTGTACAAGCTTGATGTTTTCATATCAATTTTATTTCTATTTCATCCACCACTTTTGCTTTCCTATGCACAAACGTATTTTCTTTTAAACACTACATTTCTATTATGAATTGGCCCGAACTTGGAGGAGAGACGGGTATTAGCTTAGAAATTGCCTAGTATCAATTTACTCAAAATCTCTTTATAAACTAGTTTTTCTTGTATATGCATTAGGAAACTAGCCTTACCTACTTGGCTAATTTAGTTCAAAACCTTCATGCATCTAATAGGTTCCTTTTAAATGTTACCAGGCGTTTTATCACAGCTTTTTCAAGTGGGTCGGCCTACCTTAAGTCCCCTCTCTTTGTAATATCATTTCTGTGTAAATGTCTTTTTGTTGCATTTTATTCCAATCCTCAACAATGAAAAACCCTTCCTTTATTCTTAAACTCTTCGCCTTGTGTTCTTATAACTACCTTAATACAATATTAATAAATATAAGATCCAAACCAACGGATCAGTGCATCCTTTTTCATTGAATTACATCCTTTGAAAATTCATTTACCCTTAGCGCTGACCCCTTTCTTGTCTGTTAGGCTACACAGGGTTTTTCCCGGTCCGGGAGAGAGGGCGGGGAAATTATGTCGAGTTAAAATTCCCACCGGGTACCGGGATTGAACTCATAGTATTTTGCCATCTAACTTCGGTTATCAGGTTGCTGAGCAACGCTGTGAACACGCGTGAGCGCACTCTACCACCCCGCCTCCCTCCTTTGTGCCGACTTGTCGGATTTAGGCTTAGGCAAACAAAATACTTGCCTAGAGTGGCAAATTTTATCTAGCGCATTATCTTTCCTTTTCATTTTCTCCTTTCCTCACATTTTCCCTTCATAGGGTGATTAATAGCAGAGTTATAAGTATCCTCGGAATTCAAACTCGTAATCTTCGGTTTATCAGATTGCCGGGTAACGCGAGTTTTACACACGCGTTATCTCGCTCGGCCACCGCGTTCTTCTGGCGCTTTATCTGTTATGCCCATGGGTGGCAACAACAAATCCACTCCTTAATGAAATTTTACCCATCTCTATTATGAATAATACTTACTTCAGTGTCTAATAGGTGCGGTCCGCTTAATATGGTTATTAATTTAATTACTTATTATTTATCTTTTAATAGATGATTTATTTAAGATTTTAAAATACAGCCATACAACTATTATATTCTTTGTGCACTTTTGCTATTTTCAGGGAAGTAAATATTTTATAATAAAGTTCGAATTTTCATTACATTTCAAATTTTAGTTTTTGAAATAAGGCAGTCAAGTCAAAAACAGTTCCTAATAACTGAAATTGGATGGAATATAAACCTGTTTTTATCTTTAGACCAGTTAAAAACCATAAAGACCATGACAAATCCAATTTCCTAAAGTTTTTTTTTGCTCTCATACAACGATATTATTATTTATATTCACCATCAATTTAAATCATATTTAATGAATCGAAAAATCGACCAATAATAAATTTTAAGTGCAATATGTACCTGAGGTGAAAGACCTGCTAGGGCGGCATACGCGATGCTTTGAGGAATCATGGTTAAGCCGATGGAAATGCCGGCGATGAAGTCGCATATCGCATCCTCCTTCGTGTATTTCTTCAACCATCGGATAATCGGGAAGTGTCTTTGCATCAGCTCCATCTACAAGAGTGTGGAAGACGTCTAGAACTACAAATGGTTATCTTATCTGTCCAGCTTCGAAATCAGGTTTTAGTGATGATTGGTCGGGAATAAAAAGCACTTACAAATAATCCCTGGTTTATTTATTTTAAGAGTACGTAATACCTAAATGAAAATAGAGTAACCATAAGGTAGCTTTTCAAGGACGGATCTTTAAAATTACGTATATCGTTTTTCTTCCTCACTACCGAGGGTAGGGAAATCTACTCATGCAGGAAGTGAAAAAAAATATTCGCTCAAAATCTTCAATTTCCACTTGCGTTTTTCGTTTCGGACATCAAGCAAGATATTTGGTTTTGTGTCTATCTGTCTAATTAATGTGATGGGGTTATCACCTACAACTGTTAATCCAATTGTGATAAAATTTTCAGAGATTGTGTATATTGGGGTCCCATTTAATATTTTCGTTGGCACACACCTAAAAATATTTGCTTATACATGCTTATAATTCAAAAACGGCTTCTTCGATTTGGATTATTAGAGGAAAGATGTTAATTTGTGAAATAATGATGCTGTATGGGTATCAGAGTCTTGTATAGATGTATTTTTGTTTTATTACCCAGAGACCTACTTTGTAGATGTTTTGACAGGCCGAAGAAGCATCAGTTGGCAGCTACAATTTTCTTACTATTTCTAGGAGATAATTGCTTGAGCTAAGTTCTGTGCCTAGATAAGTGAACAATTTCACCTGACGGAACTTTCATGACCCTATTTCTATATATGATTCCTGGATCCTCCCACCACCAGCACACATATACTTTGCTTTTTTTTCATCAATCTTGGCCATTGCAATCGCTACGTTCATGAAGATTACAGGAACCAGTAGTGGGTTGGTAACACGCTTCTCTGCCAACCTTTGCATTAAAATTTCTAAGCAAAATTTTGCACCATGATTAGGATAGTTTGCCAGAACTCTTTCAAGGTCATCATAAAACTGTTTCTTTTCTTCATCTTCAGCAAGTTCCATCGGTGCATAGTAATTTATAACATTATAAGAACTAGATTGTATATTTAATACAAAAAAAAGTTTATTAAAAATAACTTTAAAATTCAGAATGTACCTGAAGTGAATGATCTGCATGTGTTGTCTGCATGACTATCTGTCATGTTAGTGATCAAGTCTCATATCACAAACTCCATCTGATTATTTAATCCACCATCAGATAATTGGGATATGGTTTCCATAAACGAAAATTACTAATGATAATATACTAATAATTCTTCTTCTTCTGTTCATGATATCAGAAGCAACCTACACAAAAAAAAAAAAAAAATACCCATGCCTAGTAAAACATCAAGAACTACACCTATAAAAATACAAGACTCCCATAATTAATGCAAATACAACTATTAACAAGTCATTCTTAAATGGACAATATATTTTATTAAATGAAATGCACCAATTGTACAGATCCATAAGAATAGGATACATCTATTGAAAATAATTATGATTTGAGATTAGAAGAAGGTTACCCAGCTACTCTTGAGACCTAGGAGAAAATAAATTAATTTATCTGAAAATTCTCAAGGACATATTCTTGGTTCTTTAAATATTATCTAATTTAATATAAATATAAATATAGATTGAATTCTTATGTTTTAGCAACAATTATTTTCCCATAAATTGGAATAATTATATTAAGTTACTTTTTATAAATTAAGAAAACACCTAAACTTTCAATGTACTTTGTGGACATTGCTTAAAGCTTACCTAAAAATCCCAAGTAAACTAATAAGGAATATCTTATTATAGATAGAACTAATATCTTATTATAGATAGAATACAAAGACTAAACAATTTCCAGTTTACCTAGCTTAATTTCAACTAAGCTCTTAATTTCAAATTTTACTGAACTGTCTGTATTGAAGCTGTTTTTATTTCTGTAATTACATTTTATCAGTTATTATAACTGTCATTCTTTAAAACTTTAAATTAATAAAGAGTTATCATTATTACATCTACTATACATGTTTTCAAATTTAATATGAGGCACATCACAACTTTTTTTGGGGATACATTTAAAAAAATTAAAACAAAAGGACACATTAAAAAAAACCCTGAAAGTATAGATTAAAAAAAACATGAAAGGACACACAAAAAAACTCCTAATATAAAGCCTACTTACTAATGTAAATTTTTCAATTAAAACTGTAATGTCAAAAAAAGGTCACAATCATATCTATTGATTTTTTGATCACATAAAAAATTAATTATAAATTTTAATAAAACCAAGAGGTGTTGTCTGATTTAAAAAAAAAAAAACATTCATTCATTGCGGGGCTCTACAATCCTTGAAGAACCATGGCCTCTGCTAAAGTCTTCTTCCACACACCCCTGTCAGCAGCGAAGCACCTCCACCACTTTACACCGATCTCCTCCAAGTCACCTTCGACTTCATCCAACTATGTAAGCTAAGGCTTTCCCCGTCTTCTTCTATCTTCGGTCTTTCCATTGAGAAGTTTTCTCGGCATTCTGATAGGGTCCACCCTTTCCACAAGTCTCAACCATCACAATCTGTTGAGTTGAATGACTCTAACAATATCATGTTCGTCATATAGCTCTCATAGCTCTAGTTTGGCCCATAAGTTTTTCGGAGTACTTTTCTTTCCCATAGATGGAGCATCCTTTTATTTTCTTTAGTCATGGACCATCTCATGCTTCCATATGTCACAACAGGCCTCAGAATTGTTTTATACGTTACAGTTCTGTCTTTCTTAACATCTTAAATATTCTTGACATGATAAATTCATCATTATATTAAAAAAGGCACGTTCCACCATTTCCTAGGTATGCCACCAGTGCCGATCTGGAGGAGTACCAGCCAATTATTAGAGACACTTAAAATTTGTTATAATTTTTATTTTATTTTTTTTATTGTTTATTGATAATATTACAATCTGTCTCAAAGGACATTTATAATAGTGTTCAGAGATCACATTCACACTCTATGTACAATAATAATAATATATATACAATATATAAGTATAAAATAATCTAGAAAATAAATAAATAAAAAGAACACAAACATAGCTGTATACACTATTTACAATCAAGTGAGAGAAATCCGAGTCAAACTTGTCCCTCCAACTGTGGAGGGAAAAACATGGCTCCAGGAGATCTCTGAACTTCTCTCTCAACCGCCTCACTGATGCTAAACCCAGTAGAGATTGAGCGAGAGTGCTTTAGCCACTATTACAATTTAAAAAAAAGAAAATATAAACCTTCTTAAAACAATTAATTTTAGCCTATCAATAAAGTAACAATATTAGAGATATATTGAATGAAAAATTCAAATATTACATAGTATAAAACTACATCAGAAATAAATTTAATTTTTTTAGGAGGAGAGAGATGATGTAAATGCTGAGGTGCCGAATGTCTAAGGCCAGAATTGTATGCCACTATTGTGAATTACTTCTTTCAAATATTAATTTACAATGATTACAATACCTCAGATATTCACAACAATACATTACAATCGACAACAATATATTCTAACTTTTTGCCAAAACACATCCTCTTTTGTTTACTGTGGTTTTTTATTAGAAAATAGTTTTTCCACAAACGTTGGTTCACAAAAGTTTAAATCATAACTTTCTATTTTATAAAAAAAAACCTTAGTTTTATCTGATTCTAATCCAAATACTAGAAATAAGTCATCTTGACAGGATGTCTGATCGTAAAAAGTAGACTTTCTTACATTCTATAACACCTTGTTTTAATTAACACTAATAAGTTTCTCATTTTTATTTTATACTGCAGTTTGTTTTCTCTTTAAATTTACATTTGCACTTGTCCTATAAATAATTAGAAATCAGCAAATTTTCTGTTGTAATATGACACTTAAAATGCCATTACAATAAAAAAGGAAAAATCCAAAGGTAACTTCCTTATGATGACATATTAAATTAGATGATAAAGCCATCATTAACAAAAGGCTTTAGAATATTATCATATTTATGGAAGCAGCTAAGGTGAAGCTAAGGATGGCTAGCCAATGAATTTAGGATTTTTTTTTTGTCAATAACAAATCTTTATCAATTAATTTCCTTGATTTATTTTATTAGTTAATAATTAAGGCACTCAAAAAATGACTTGAAATGAAATTTTTTCCTCAAACCTTCTTTTTTGTATTCTAAATAAGTAGAATATATATATGATTTTACTTCAATTTTTCTTTTCTGTATAAAAATACTGCATTGGGTCCTTAAGTACACTTTGACCAATTGCCGTCAAAAAATGGTGGTGTTTTTAAATACACTTTGGTCAATTGCTTCAAACATGGTGGTGACTTTAAGTTCACTATATAAACTGACATCATAGTTTTGAAAAATGTGATTAAATAATTTATTAGGTAATAAAAGAAACATGTTAATAAAAATAAGTACATTTTAAACAAAATATAATAAATACAAAACATAGATCCATGAAAAATAGCATTATGCCTTCTCTTGTCCATGAAATTAAAAAAAACGGCCTCTCACTGGTGTTACCAATTGTCACATTACATTTTTGGAATGAAACAACCATTTTATTTAGGCAACATAGTCTGCACTTTCCTTTTGTAGTTAATACTTGCCAATGATGCATCTTATCAAGTCTTGTTACGCCAGGTATGACAGCTGCAGCTGTTCTTTTTTTCAAGTATGCAATTGGCGGTGTCCACTAATTCTTTTAGCTCACCGGTACAGCAGAATATCCTCTGCAATTTGTATTCAAAATCGTTTTAAAATCAAATTTATTTTAGGGTTGTTCCTTTTAACAACAGATATGCATTGGGAAAAAGGGATTAAGTAATATGAAAATAAATCTTAATATTTTGCTCAACTGAATTGTGGTCTTCAAATTTTTTCTTTTTTTTTACGGTCTTTTACCATTGGAGGTATTATGTTCTTTCCCCTTAGGGGGTTCAAATTTTGGGGTTAAAGTTTCTTCATGTACTCCAGTGTAAAAGGGATCTTCTACCTCTTCTTCACA